ACACGTGTGACAAAGTGCAAACTAACAGGTCCAAAATGGGACCAACAAATTACAGTAGTGCCCCAAATGATCCTAAACAGATCTATTAGTGATATATAAACAACAAACAAGAAGTCCAAACTGGGACTAAACACAAAATAGTGCTCCGACCTCCCAACGGAAAACAGAAGTGCTCCAGGCACAAAAACATATAAATAACAAACACTGTGTCACTAATAAACCCAGTACATCCAACCGAGCATAAGATCAATTATAAGTTATTACAAGTAATTGTATACAAAAAAGTCCCGTGAGGTGAAAAAACACCTAATTGCAATAAACAGTACAGTCCTCATAAAGTTTTAACCCAACAGTGATGACAGGTGTGCGAAGATATCCGAAAATGGCTGAAATGCCCGCTCACCTCCCTGTTTTGACCCGAAAGGGCCAAAACGCTTTTAGGATCACTACACCTGGATCCTTAGTGCTTGGGACTCCTCCAAAGCTCTCCACACTGATCTCCCCTCAAGTATAGGCTCATAAGGTAGCAGATCTCCTCTCCAGGCAATTAAGCAGTAAGTGGCCTCTCATTTCCTCAGAAAATACAAGTGAATACTTCCATAGTGTCATACTGTTTATTCACTATTGAATATAGCACCAAAATATTCTATTATGCTCTCACATTTTAAATCATCTTTCCCAATGCATTTAATAAATTCAAACCTCAGATCAGATGTATTTGCATGGGTGTCCTGGGTGTCTCAAGATGGCGTCCGACCGGAAGTGCGTCACCGCCGACGCGTATCGTCACACTAACCTCGTGACGTCATCAGGGCCTAATGATGATGATCCGTTTAGGATCATTTGGGGCACTACTGTTATTTGTTGGTCCCATTTTGGACCTGTTAGTTGGCACTTTGTATTGTGTGAGTGATATAGACACTTATATGCATCACGATTTATATCTGTTGTTTTGTTTATTATTGAATATTGATTTATTTATATTTACAGATGTGCATCTTTTCACTTTTATACACTTTCTATTAATTTTGCTAATTATTTATGTGCTTATTGTTATCTGTATATATGTTTGTTTGGTTGGGTTTTATATGGTATTAGCGCCACTTTATTTTCTTTTTTCAAATTAGTGCTTCTCACTAATCACAAAGTGCTCATGCATCAAAACTCTGTTCACCTCACCCTTTGTGGTTAGCACTTGTCAAATGCTCTGTGACCCCTTATGAAATAAGAATGTCCCAAGAGCTTTTGTACAGGCTCCCTCTCCTCCAGGTCTGCTCATCACACTACTCACTGGGGTGTACCTCCAAATAATATTCCTCCAACGCCTACAATTCCCAGGAATGAAACCAGAAGAAATGACCACTAATAGTGTAGCAACGCTTTATTAATGTAATGCTTTAAAACATCAATTGTGCACTTACATACCATATATATGAAGATCAGGCTTTCAGTGTTCTATTGGCACCTCCAATTCCTACTCAGTATGACCGTGTGTTCCCTCATAGTGGAAGTGACATCACCAGAAATTACGTTACTAGGGTAGCTCTGCCCAACACATTTTATTGGCATAACGTCTTCAGGGAATCCGTGTCAGGAATCCAGGAGGAACAAAAAGTAGATATAAAGCTGCATTTTTTTTCTGCATGGCATTGGGACCGTTAGGGATATGGGAGGGGGGGGGGCCGTTGTACAAATACTGCCCTCCCAAACAATAATTATTACTCTGGCTGACTAAACTCACGTAACACAGATGTGTCTTTTTTAATATTAGTATGAGTGGCACTAATTTTCTGCATTTGAAAAGCCATGTAGATTAAAAAAATATGGTGCACAGCTACCCTAAATAATGCCATTCTTACACACTAGCTTATCCCAAAATACCAGATGTATTAATTAAAATTGCACAAGACAGTTATAAAATCCAATATAGCTCATATCAAACATAACTTATATGTGACTAATCATACCCTCAGTGTATTCAGTGAATAAATATACCACTCACTCATCGATCATGAAGTGAACTGATCCACTAGAGATCCATAGTGAGACGGGAAAGTGAATAAATATTGTAAACATAAAGAAACGCCAGTGGAAGAAAAAAAAAGTCCTAATAGAACTGCAATATTGTGAAATATATTCATAAATACTAAAAAATTGTGAATCCCTAAATCTGGGATCAATTATCACGCTGACAATACTAGTGACCACAGAGGCTATAAATTTGCCAAATAAAAGTGAAAAATAAGTGAAAACATCTCAGTGAATCCCTGAATGTGGGATTAAATATCACACAATAGTGACAAGTGCAGTGATTAAAAGACAAAATATAATAAATAATAAATATTATTAAATTGATATCACAAAAAATGATTTTCAAAAAAACTTTTATAAAGTGTCTCATGAAATAAGTCCAAAGGAAAAGTTCAAAGGTGCGTAAATGCCAAATATTCCAAAGACTTCAGAAAGTGCGGATGGTAAAGTGAATATGCATGACAACAAACAGGAAATAATCCATAAAAGGCTGAATTGTCCTCTCACCTCCTTGAAGCTACCCAAAAGAGCCAAAAGGCTTGTTAGAAAACAAGAGTGAACTTCCACAGTTTGGTCCCCCCTTCAAGGATGATATCCGTCCGCAGCGGTGATATCCCCTTCACAGGTTAATGGAAGAAGCGGCAGGGTCCCCTCCAGGGATGATTTAGTAAGATACTGCCAGCTCGCATTAAGGTCTCCTTGAAACAACCCAAAAGGGCCAAAACACCTGTTAGAAAACAAGAGTGACCGTCCACAGTTTGGTCCCCCCTTCAAGGATGATATCCGTCCGCAGCGGTGATATCCCCTTCACAGGTTAATGGAAGAAGTGGCAGGGTCCCCTCCAGGGATGATTTAGTAAGATACAGCCAGCTCACATTAAGGTCAGGATAAGGACAGAAAAAGATCTCCCATAGTGTAAATCTGTTAAATATACCTTTAAACACATATATATCCAAATGCCCACTCACTTTTGCACAGAATAAAACAAGCTGTAAAACCTCATGCTATGGGTGTACTTGCATGGGCTTTTTGGGTGTAGCAAGATGGCGTCCACGCCGGAAATACGTCAGCCATATACCTTTTAAATAAGCTCCAATTTTGTATGTATAACTAATCTTACCGTGGCTTTATTTTCATTCCTGTAATATTGGTATGGGAAGGCTTTCAAAAAACTAAAGCAAAAGGGGAGCAGTTCTCAATATATATACCAACTTCTTTTTTCCCACAACAATTTCATGAAAGACCAATACAAGAAAAATTCCCCCTGCAGTATTCATAAATTAGCCTCAATGTTGTGAAAACTCTTTTAATACAGATTCATCAGTTATGGATAGAAGATTCAGTTCTTATCTCCTCCCACGCACAATGTCAGACAAGAACTCTTTCAGCCACCAACTATATGAGAAGAGTCTGGCTTATCGCTTAGTGGGGTTGGAGAAATGGGAGGGGGTTTTGGAACCTTAGACTATGTCCCCCTTGAAAAAATGTCCATCTACTCTTAATCTGGAAACATTTCTAAAATGTAGAATTTTCTCAGCCTGATAGAGAGGTGTGATGTTCTTTAGTTTAACCACTTCCCTCCCGGCCAATAGCCGAATGGCGGCCGGGAAAACGCTCTAGATTCCTGGGTGGACACCATTTGGCGTCCTCCCGCACATGCGCAGTTTTCGCGCTTGCAGAGCCGCTCAGCGGCGCGATCTGTCCCTGGCCGTGCACCTCGGACACGGCCGATGACAGATCTGAGTATGGCCCCCGTTGCTGTACCATGTGACCTCTGTGACCAATCACAGCAGGTCACATGACATTTGTATACAATGGATGGCTTCATTCATGCCATCCATTGTATACTAGTGTCTAGCTGTGAATAGTCACAGCTAAGCACATGCAAATGTCATGTGATTAGCTGTGGTCAAATCACAGCTAAGCACAAAAAAAAAAAAAAAACCCTGAATGAATCGATGTCATTCAGGTAAATGCTTGCTTATAAAAAAATAATTCTTTGCTATAAGCAAATTGTGTAAAAAAAAAAAAAAAAATTCTGATCACTTCCCCAAAGTAGTACAATGTTACTATAGTAACATTGTACTACTTTGGACATAGTGAAATATGAAAACAAAATCTTAAAAAAAGAAAAAAGTAAAAATTAAAAAATAATAAAAAAAAATAAAAAAAATAAAATATTTTTTTTTTCATACTGTCACCAGTCAGTGTCCCTGATCACCGCCATGCCAGTTATATGATGACACTGTACTGCATTGGTGACAGTATGTAAAAAAAAAATAGTGAATTAATTTTTTGCATTTTTTCATTTTCCGAAAAATTATGACAAAAAAAAACTTCAAAAAACTCGCCATACCTCTTATGAAGTACGTCGGACTGTCTACTGTGCAAAAAGGGGTCATTTGGTGGATATCTGTCCTGTCCTGACATTTGCGGGATATCTGTACTGTTCTGACATTTGGGGGACATCTGTACTGTCCTGACATTTGGGGGATATCTGTCGTTCTGACATTTGGGGGATATCTGTACTGTTCTGACATTTGGGGGATATCTGTACCGTTCTGACATTTGGGGGATATCTGTACTGTTCTGACATTTGGGGGATATCTGTACCGTTCTGACATTTGGGGGATATCTGTACTGTTCTGACATTTTGGGGTTATCTGTACTGTTCTGACATTTGGGGGATATCTGTACTGTTCTGACATTTGGGGGATATCTGTACTGTTCTGACATTTGGGGGATATCTGTACTGTTCTGACATTTGGGGGATATCTGTACTGTTCTGACATTTGGGGGATATCTGTACTGTTCTGACATTTGGGGGATATCTGTCCTGTCCTGACATTTGGGGGATATCTGTCCTGTCCTGACATTTGGGGGATATCTGTACTGTCCTGACATTTGGGGGATATATCTGTACTGTCCTGACATTTGGGGGATATCTGTACTGTCCTGACATTTGGGGGATATCTGTCCTGACATTTGGGGGATATCTGTACTGTCCTGACATTTGGGGGATATCTGTACCGTCCTGACATTTGGGGGATATCTGTACCGTCCTGACATTTGGGGGATATCTGTACCGTCCTGACATTTGGGGGATATCTGTACCGTCCTGACATTTGGGGGATATCTGTACCGTCCTGACATTTGGGGGATATCTGTACCGTCCTGACATTTGGGGGATATCTGTACTGTCCTGACATTTGGGGGATATCTGTACTGTTCTGACATTTTCTGACATTGACATTTGGGGGATATCCTCAAGAAATTTAGATATTGGCCTTGGACCTCAAGAAATTAGATTGGCTGTCAGTACTTCAGGATTGATCAATATTCAGATCTATACCATAGTTTGTGAACTCTATAACTTTCCTACAAACTAAATAATACATCCTAATTTGGGTTATTTTCACCAAAGACATGTAGCAGAATACATCTCGGCCTAAATTTATGAAGAACAATTATTTATTTGCAAACTTTTATAACAGAAACAAAGAAAAACGTGTGTTTTTTTTCAAAATTTTCGGTCTTTTTTTGTTAATTTAGCAGAAAATAAAAAACCCCAGCGGTGATTAAATACCACCAAAAGAAAGCTCTAGTTGTGTGAAGAAAATGATAAAATTTTAGTTTGGTACAATGTTGTATGACCGCGTAATTGTCATTCAAAGTGTGAGAGCGCTGAAACCTGAAAAAATGGCCTGGGCAGGAAGGGGGAAAATTGCCCGGAATTGAATTGGTTAAGCACTACATCCTTCTTTTCTGTTCCCTGCAGGACCACAACCACAAGTCACTCCGATACAAGGCAACATTCCAAGATTCTTATCCCGTACAGCTCTCAGCAAGCAATCGGAAGTATCTCTTTCCCATGCATTCAAAGGTAAGTCATGTTCTACACTCCACAACTACACATCACACCCTGGCACTGTGCACATATTGGTCTTCACTTTCTATAGTGCTCAGGAGAATATACTGTATATTCCAGCAATGGAAACAATTGCAGCCTTGAAGCTCACAAATCTGCAAATCTGTTCACTCCTCATGACTAAGCACTCTTCTATGGACACGCTAAGAGAAATGAGCAGCTGTCCAGGAACATGTTGAGCACAAATATCACACTCTGCTGAGTACATGGGATCCACTGACAGGACATGCTGAGATCAGATAGCCCGTTACCTAACACACATGAACTCTACAGAACACTCTATCAGGGATATAATAAACACATGCCAGATACATTCTTATTGTATGAAAGACCTTGCCATGGACATGGTGATTACAGGGTTATTTTCCTGGAACATCTTGAAACAAAGCTGAACACTTTATTATGAATATTGTGACATAAGAAGAATTCTGCCAAGCACATGCTGGTCACAAGATACACTGTGCCAGGGATGTGATGAACACAATGAGAACTCTACCAACAACATAATGCACACATCAGCATGCAATTTACCATGCAAATGATAAAACACATGGAGCAGTGTGCCACATTCCTAAAACCAAACACAGAGGGGACATTTCTAGGGACATACGTGGTATATGAGGTTCTCTGTTAGGGTTATATGGAGCACACTGAGCCGTGGATCTGCAAAGCAAAATAAGTAATTTAGTAAAGTTCTAAGTATTAGATGGATCCTCCTGCGCTTAAATGGAGCCCTAACCCTAAGCTGCTAACACTAAAACGTAAACCCAATAAGTGCAAATAACAAATAATATACACACAGTGCAGCGCTTATTGTATGCTATAAAAAATAATGCGATATATTCTTCTCAATATTAAACAGTGAAATATAATAATAATAATAGTAAAAATATATTTTTATATATAAGTGCACAACACTCAATCCCCCCTTTTAATCCACACTTGAGGGATCCAATATTCTGAAAACATAAGTGCAAAACGTGAATCCCCTCTGATGTAAATGATACAAACAGTGCTAAATGTCACACACCACACTTAACAAAATTCAAATGACAATAAACTGATAAACCCCCAGACGGAATAGTAATAAAGTCCAAATTCAATCATATATAAATTTGAGCTCCAACTGCAATCGCATGCAAGTGATGATGTGTGTAGGTGGTCACAGAATTAGTGTCAATCCTTTAGTGGCCAAAATGCCCCCTCACCTCCTTGCATTGACCACAAAGGGCCAGCTCGCTTATGGGATCACACCAATCCTCATAGGATCCCCTTCAATGGTGGTATATGCTCCTCTTTCAAAGCCTCCTCCACATAGGTATCAGCAAAACCTCATACAGGATCATAGTAAAACAAAGAGATCCTCCATAGTGTAATATGTTTATTCAGGGTATAAAATACACATGAAAAAAATGCCCACTCACGTTTTACCTTTACATGACAGCTTTCTACCTCATGCTACTGCATGGGTATAGGAAAAAGGTGTTCCAATATGGCGCCCATGCCGGAAATTACGTCACCACGTAACCGGAAGTTCCTCC